CATTTMAGCTTTGAACTTGTTTAGTTCTGARGACATCACAGCTTTTATCGTAACTTGATCCTTGTTCTTCGTAGGTAAAAATGATGTTGACAAGATGTGCAACTTCTCCACTTGCTCCCTTTGAGGCTGCAATGGGCCAAATATTTTTTGGCTCACGAAAGACACCTTCCAAAGTGAAGGGTGAAGGTGACACATCTTCCAACGGCTCTTCAGTCTGTGACCAGCCTTCTGAGTATCACTATGAGGGTGCTAAGAAAAAACAAGCAAAGAAAACAGAATAAGTGACTTAAAATGTTTTATTGATGGTCATGACTGTTTGAAGATGTTTGTCTTCCAGATCAGGCTGGCTGAGAAGTTTCTCTAAGGAAATGAGAACAGGGCTGTGTTGTGGTTTGCCTTTTGGAATGTGTTACGTAAGCTATGTGTAAATGCACATGTTGGATTTGTAAGTTGAAAACTACAAATTTTTATAGTTGTTAAGAGTTTACTAATTTTTGTATTTATGATAACTTCAAATGCTTACATGTTAAAAAGATAGTTTCAAAAATGTGACAATCATATTTGTGATTTTTTTTCCCACTTTTTTAATGTCTTCCTATCCCCCAGTACTTATGTTTCATTTGGATAACACTGATTTGSCTTGTCAGGTGTTCACTGTAGCACATCCCAAATAAGAAAGTTATTATCTGAGTAAGGCTTAATCACATTGCACTGTGTTAAACCGTAAAAATGTACCAAATTAATGCCTTTAACTAGAAAAATAACTGAATTATTGTTGTAGTTCAGATTGTACTGTCTAATTTTTCTTCATTTCCTTACGTAAATATTTTTCAATATTTTTCTATTTTTTTAAATGAGAGTAAATTATCTGTCACTTAAAAAAAATCTTTACAGTTAGCAAGTAGGAACATTTCAGTATTTTTGTTGCTGGCTTACTTGGACTCCTTATTTGCAAGCATTTGAGATGTAGGTGTTTCTCATGCCACAYTGGTGTTTTACAAGTGGTTTGTAGTTACCTTTTGGGTCATTTGGGACTAGACATTCTTTGCCTGCATTTTTATCCAAGAATATGCCCTTACTTTTTTTCAAAGACAAACTTTATTAAAAAGAAGAATACTGGGCAGTACATTTACCTTGTTTTGTCAGCACTCTGAGCTGCAAGAGACGGATGGGAGCAAAATGTTGCCATCATGATCCACATGGGAATAGTTAGTGAGCCACTACAGCACCTGAACACTCCAAAATGGTGGGATGGGATCCACCCAGGGGTGCTGAGGAAGGTGGCAGAGAGCTCACTGAGCCACTTTTAGTCACTTATCAGCAGTCCAGCTAAACTGGGCTGGCAAATGTGACACACATCTACAGGAATGGTCAGGARGATCCGGGGAATGACAGGCCTGTCACCTGCCCTCAGTGCCAGGGYGGTGATGGAGCAGATCACCTCGAGCACCATCGTGCAGCAGGGACAGCACAGCCAGGGGATCAGGCCCAGCCAGCCTGGCTTTAGGRGAGGCAGGTCCTGCCTGAGCACCCCGATRTCYTCCTGTGACAAGGGGACRGCTCAGGGGATGAGGAAAAGGCCGTGGATGGGCCTGCCTGGACTCTGCAGAGCCTTTGACACCTTCTCCCCCATCTGGAGAGCCCGGCTGCTCCTGGA